ATCGATTATTCATTCATTTAAATAAAAGTATAAGTAAAGTTTTTCTTATACTACAAAGTGAAGTATATATTTGTTGTTCAAAACAGTCGAGACTTGTCAAATGTATCTATTGGTAATCATATAAAGAAGAAACAGTAAAGTATCTGTAAATAACACATTGTACTTATGTTGAGAGAAAGTTACACACCTCGTTTTCACATAGAGAGTTGTGCTTTTATAGCGAATGACTAGAATACGTGGGAAGTGTTCAATAGAGAAAAGGAAGTGTATATTATACATATCTCTGTTGATGAGTTCATTCAAAAAAGAAAAGAAAAATAAAAAAGAAAGAAAGAAACTATTTCATACGATTAAAGCAATTTTGAAACAAAACTGTTATCTAAGAATGATGGTGAGTCTAGTTCAATTCTCACGAAAAATAATCTTTCTATTATTCTTCTTTTCAAATATAAGATAAACTCAAAGGATATATGTTTTGACCTTCTCTACTTCTGAACATTTACTTTTAGAGTGAAAATGGAGATTCTATGTTAAAACAAAATGAACAAAATCTGTCAAGAGTATGTTGTATCAGATATTAATCACCAAAAATCTTCACTTTAAATTATATTAAGCCATTACAAACTTTAATTTCACCGTTATCTAAACTGGAAACAGACGTTAAAAAACGAACTTATTATGAAATCATGGAGGTACGACAATGTGACTTTCGCCAACTAGACGTTCGCCAATTGTCGAAGGTTCACTTGACTTTTGCCAATTGACGAGTGACCATAGGGTGTATTGGTGGAAATTCAGTGTAATTTCATCAATTGGCGAAAATCTCTCAATGAAGTCACATCTTTTTTTTTATTTAGAAAAATTGTAACTTGCGTTGAGAGACAATGCAACTGCCAATATTTTTACTTCATTTTGTATAAACCTCATTACACAAGAGTCAGCTTTATGCAAAAAATTTATCTAGAATTTTACATTTTTGATGATTCCAAGCGTAGATCGAACATTATCAGAAAGTTTTAGTATGCCGAATTACAACACTTTTACTAAGTGTATTGCTACGGTTTTCGTTAATAATATTTTTATATAATTGTGGTGTACATTAAATGTAGATGTTATCATAGAAAGGCTGTACCTTAGTTTTTTAAGTTCGTCTCCCTAGGTTAATTCTACTAGCCTCTCCTAATTATCAATGAATATTTGGAATCATACAATAACTAGCGTTTAAACTCTGAAAAAATTGCTGAAATTATTGAGTCAAACACATGTATTCAGACTGAAGTGAGATTTTTTTTGTTGAAGAGGATCTCCGATTTGAAAAGTGACTGTCGATCGTAATATTGCTCACTTCCAGTAACCATTAAAAATATTAAATATATGCAATAAATAGAACAGAGTCATTTTCGTACTAAGATGAAGTATTTATCTTTTTTGAATTGAGAAATTAGTTGCATTTTTTTACTGCAAAAAAATGAAACAGTTATACTTCACAAATAGAGATCTACAAGGATTTGAGGAAATTGAGTCCGAATTCGATTCAACTTTAAAAAGTTCAACGTGAAGCTAGGATCGTGTCGGGTTGCGCATTTTTACTTACGAACGATGGGTAGGTATTTCCTTAAAATTCAGAATGATATTTTTCTGGATTACTGTAGTTCCATACATTTAGTCACAAATCAGATGAAAATTGAATTTCATAGCATTTTTTTCACGTTCTGAATGAAGAATGTATATTATTCACAAACTGAATCGCCATATAATAAATAACTTAAATGCTTTCTGTAAGTGCCGTTATACGATTAAAAAGACGCGAAAGTATGTCACAATGACTGATGTTTCTTTGTCATTCTTAGTCATGTTGTTTTTTAGTAATTTCTACTTAAACTAAGGAATCTTTCTCTCGAATTGTTCTTTGAACAACTTCTGAACATGACTTTCGTTAGGCTGTTTCTAACTTTGCAGTTAAAGTAAAGAGGCACCGCTAAATCAATATAGAATTCGATGAAAAACCACGTCATATGTATAGCTCAGGCAGTGATGCTTAAGTAATAACGAGTTGATAACTAAAACAGCCAAAAATATGCCGAATGAAAATGTTTCATGTTGAAAAGAGAAATACTGAACAAAAACATCAAACCTGATGGAAAATGCTAAAAAATTTATTAGCCGTCATTATTAATTAATTCAGTGAGACATTTTCGCACACACACACACAACAACTAAGGAAGCCGCCGCGTTTGATCCGCTGGTGTGTCCTTGTTTTGGATCACATATTTCTCATCGTAATGTAACAAGTTCATTGATCTATAGCAATGAGATGTAAATGTATGTCGTCTTCATTAACACTTGAGAATTTGTGAAACAACAGAAACTGAACAATCAAATGTACTATATACGAAAAAAAATAGATATAGTACCTTGATGAATTGAAAAAAGTCAGAAATTCAGGCAAGCTTGAAATGAATATGAGGTAAGACTATTTAAATAAGCACAGTTAGCGAGATATGTTTGCAGTCTATAAGTGGAATGTCATTGTATCTCATTGTTTGAGTGAATAAATAAACTCTTTTTTAAGAAAAGAAAAGAAGAGAATGTGAGAAAAAAAGAATGGAGAAAAAGTATCTATCTATAGACTAAAATCCGACCGAAACATTTGAAAAGATGACAAAGATTATTGAAGAAATATCAATAAAATAAACCTAAAGCTAATATTTTTCGTTCTGAATGTTTTTGAAAATTTTAAATAGCATGCTTCGATAAGATTTGAAATCTAATTGAGTGCATATGTGTATACTTGTTTTTGACTTAAAGGAAAAACATTTCAACAAGTCACATTCTTTTAACGGATATAAACGCATAGAGAGAACAAAAGAAGCATACAGTCAGTTTTTTTTTTACTATCTATAAAACACAATTATAAAAATGAAAATAAAAGAGAGAAAGAAAAACTACCTTGTATCAATATAGAGCCATGCGACTTCTTTTTACACTCTTGTGTTTATCAACTTTTCTAGGATAGAGTCGTTTAAATTTTTTTATAACTTAACTATTATATCTATAGAAAGAAAACAACATTCTCTTTTACTTATGTAAAAGTAAAGAATGAGACAATTCTAATAATTCTTTTTGTCTTCGAATCTATTATAACGTGTATATTATTTTTTTTCTATACTGTGGTATTTACTGGAAAATTTGATTTTAAAAGAATAATTGAGAATGGCGGACAGAAATGTTCAACAAGCCAGTGATGAGGAAGAAGAAGCAGAGCATTTTGATCCGGTGAGAACTTTATTATTATTATTGTTTATTTGAAACCGAAATATTATAGTTGATAAAAAAAACATTTTCCATCGGGTTATACTTGACATTATTTTGCTAGAAGGTTTTCTATTGTGTAAATTTATTATTCAGATAAAAAATGATCTTATACAAAAAATGACTTTTTAGTGTGTAATAGCTTAGAGTTAAAGTGTGCTGTTTGGTTCAAAAGTCAGATTAGTTTATTCGGGCACGAAGCTATAAGAAATAGGAAATTGAGTACTTGGCAATGTCTTAGACAAGAAGTTCAAGAACTTGAGAAGAGATGCAAATATAATTCTCTGTAGAGTAAGATAAAATTATCGCGTAGCCATAGTTTTGTTAAAATAAATGTTAGTGAACTCGACAGCGTTCTGTTAAAACATCAAATCAATGTCATCACCATGAGACTTCTATTTTTCTTCATTACATTAAATTTGCTATATGGAAAAGTAGAACGATCTGAAAGATTTTTTGTCTCTTTGTGAACGTGCTGCTCTATGGAAAGATGAAGAAACAAGAGAACAGAAAAAAATATTTAAGGGTTATCCTCCTCAAATGTAAAACTTGTTAAGAATTTCATTCATTTTTTATCTTTCTTTTATGAATTAGAAAGGTAGAACTTTTGTATTTAAGAAAATCAAGGTCGTTGCCATATAAAAGACCATTCTTAGTTATAAGTTGAAGGGCGTATATTTTAGTTCTTCTGTCATGATTTGTAATTTGCTCTAACTATAAAAGAAAAATGATTTTGTCAAACAAGAAGCGTATACCTTCGTTATCTGTGAGAATTATTGCTATTCTTTATCTTTATCAATACTGAAGATCAGATTATAAGAGTTTCATTATCTCCAAACTCCAAAAACTCGTACTCGATTCCTGATTACTATCAAACAATAAAACTTTTTGATATTTTTAAACTTGGCTTGTTTGAACTGAATAAATTTTGTTTCCCAACCGCTTTTCGTTACACAAAAGCTCAAGTCTAGGGAACTTGAAATGAGCCCAAGGCTTGAGCTTTTCTGTAACGAAAAGCGGTTGGAAAACAAAATTTATTTAGTTCGAACAAATCGAGTTTAAAAATATCAAAATCATTTTCTTTCTTTAACTGCACTAAACTCGCGTGACTCATAGAGAAATTGTAACAATGCATTTGTCTTTTCTCTGGTTAAGCGTCAGGACGACGATTAGTAAGTGCATGAGATCGACCGTCACTGAAGATTGAATCACCGAAATTTTGGTGACATCTGACGTGTTTGTTTTCAATTGTGTTGGGAGGAAAGTTACAGAAAGGTAGTCTTGAGGACTGCGCGCGTAGTAAAAACCAGTTCAAGCTTCCAAGGCTTGAGCTTTTCTATAACGAAAAAGCGATTTGAAAACAAAATTTATTTAATAAAAACTTTGATGTTGTTTTCTTTTTGTTCTAGCGTACACTAATGAACGGTGAAAACGATCAAAAACTACATTTATTTATCAAAGCCGGAAAAGATGGGCGATCCAAAGGAGCGTGCTGTTTTTGTCATGTAAGTTGAACTGATCGGTAGAAACAGTATTTGATAATAATATATCGATATATATCTAAAATATATCAATTCTCACAACGCAAGCCATCACAGAGATCTGCAAGTTCTTAAAATATTTTCTCGCTATTTTTGGCATAGGCTTTGGTGAAAATAAAGTAAATCGCCTAATCTTCAATATTGAGTATGACTGATAGGACACTTTTATACCACGAAAAGGTAAAAGACTCATTTGAATTCCGTACGCTAGCAACATCTATTAAATTCACAAAATATGTTATTTTTCGTCAGAAAATTGTGTAAATGTTTTAATCGAATCGAGTATCGGATTTGTTATTAATTAACTTTGTTTTTATCAAAGTTTATGCCTGTAGTAACGAGCAAATAACACAAAAATTTGCAAATCCGCACGTTTTAGCTAAACTATGAGTATTTGGGAAAATCTTCAAGATGAAAACAAGTTTCTGCATCTACATTCAGAGGAAAATTTAATGTGAATGCCGAAAGAAAAGAGCAGAGCATTCAAAATAGCTAAGTAAAGTGACGATACTTTGACTGTGACAGTAAAGATAGAAATCTGTCAAGAAGCGTATTAATATCGATCTACCATTTCTAAATATCGGTCGTCGGAAGGGGGATTTTATTTTGTATAAAGGATACCATTGATTGTGTAAGACGTGAATATCATGTTCGTACCATTTTACATGAATTTACTCTTGTTTCTTTAGGATGTTTTTATGAAGTTATTGGTTAAACGTGAAAATGAAAATGAATTTAGTTTCGATGTAATAACGATTAATTGCAAAAATCCACCAAAAGAATTTAAAGAAATATCAAAAAAATTACCGACTCTTGTACATGGTAAGGAGTTAGAATTGCTAGATGCCTCTATTTTCATGTTAAGGGTATCCAACTCCTTATCTTTTCTTTTGTTACAAAATTGTAGTGACTGATCGGATTTTCCCGAAAATACTCTACGTGTATCGGATCCTAGTATCTGTGATAAAATCTTGAGCCCGAATGGACTTTTTATGCAAAGTTTACTGAGACTCTCTATTTATGATAAACAAAAAATAGAATAGAAGTAATATATTTATGATCGATTTAATAGAATATTTTTTTTAAACTATACCTGTTTAATTATTTCAGGAGATGTTATATTGAATGATGTTGATGAAATCGAAGAATATTTAGATACAATATTTGAAAATTATAAATTAGGTGTACAAGATCCAGAAGCATTTAAAGCACAAATGAATGTTTTTACAAAATTTTCCTATTTTATCAAAGATGTTAACAGTAATCCTCACCAATTATTAAGTGAATTAGAAAAAATTGATCAATTTTTAGAAAAACGTAACACAAAATACATGTGTGGAAATTATATAACGGGTAGGTGTTTTATTTCTAAATTTGGCTACTAGATGAATCTCCAGTGCTATGAAAAGTATCTTATTTGTTTTATATTTATTAGGACTTGATTGTTCACTATTTCCCAAACTACAACATATTCGAGTGGCATTAAATTACATACGAAACATGTCGATACCTGATGAATTTGTCTCATTATGGCGCTACTTAGCATTAGCCTATGAAAATGATTCATTTGTAAAGTCTTGTCCATCTGATCAAGAAATTAATTGGCATTGGATGCGTGGTGGAGCATCAGCACAACAAGTTTTACAATTGCAAAAAGAGAAGCCGAAATATTCGTTTGAGGTACCAGATTATCCACGTTAGCGATAGACAGACGATATGCCATGTGAAAGTTGTATTAGCACGAATGATTTGTTTGTTTTTTATATTTTCACACAGTTATGCGGTGCCTATTATGTCTGGAAAACGTCGTGTGCGTTTTTCTTTTTCGATGGTTTTTTTATTTCAGGTTTTTTTTTCTTTCGAAAATTGCGTAGTTCTATTCAGTGGAATCTTCTTTGACGTGAGTTTTAGAAATAAAATAAACGATATTACCTTCTGTTTTTACAGGACCTAGGTAAGTTTCAAATAGAAAAAACTGCATTCCCGATGAGTGCATCCAATCTTGACTAAGTCAATACAAAAAAAGCTCAATCCTTTCGGGCTAGACTGATTATTGTCACACGCTCTATCTACACTGCTAACATTTTCTTTTCATGTGATCGAGGAGAAAGCTTACAGAAAATCTTGATTCGCTTTACATGAGAACATTTTTCAAAATAAATGTAACATCACAATAGAAAATAAATATTTGATAGATACTTGAAAATTTCTTATCTATTAACATTACGGAAGCATGAATAAATCATAACTCGGTGCTTCTGACTGAAACCGTTACTTGAAAATTATCACTGAATAGTAATAAGTGTGATCATAATATTGCTAATTAATTCGATTAAATCACTATTGATATCAACTCATGAATGATTGATAGAATTTTTCAACTTATTAAAAAAAATGTATTCCATTTGATAGATATTTTTAACCGTATATACATTAATAAATATTGTTTTATCAAATAAATTCAATGTTATCAAATTGATTGCAACGGTACAATAATCCATTAATCAATAAATGCCTGGCTCATGTTGATCATCGGCTGAACAACTAGTGACGGGTATATCCAATGAATTTTTTTGATACTAAAAGTTTCCTTTTAACATGTTAACCATTTTTTAACGCATTTAATAGCATAAAATAGTAATAAGTTCACGCGCATTAATTGTCTTTAAAAAAGATTTCTAACACATTTACATGCGTTAAATTTTATATACCAAAAGTAAACGAAAGAGTTCGCATCTGTTAAAAAATCATTAATGTGTTAAAACGAATTAAAATGGATAGTTTAATGCGTTAGCATAGCGTAAAAACGCGTTTTAGTCTCATATTAAATTATTTTAAAATTTTTCGCGTATGAAGCGCGTTAAAATGAAATTATCGAAAAACGTTTTTAACGCATTTTGATGATTTTTTGCTTTTAAGGATTTACAAATTCAAGGCTATTCAACACGTTAAGAATTTTAATATATTCATTCAAACTCATTAAATAGGTTTAATTCATGGAAACATATTAAATTCTAATGCATTTAACTCTATTCACAGATGACCATATCACGAGAGGGCACCAGGAAGTGTACCAGACTTTACATCGACTTACTGCCAATCGTATGGCACTTTCAGGATTAGTAGAGCTCATCATGGTGATCACAAAAATCATCTTAAAGCTTTTCAAAACGACCACATGGTGGGCCCCGGACAAGGCCCCCGAAAGACTTTCTAGCAACATTGTTTTTGCTATAACTTTGCCATTTTTAAAGATGAAAAGTTCAAATTGCTTTTACAAATACTACTCACCAATATGAACATCTTTTGTAGCAAAAAGATTTTCCCTCAGTGTTCTGGTTTTTTAAGAAAAATTATACAAACACGCGACTTTTGATGTTTTTTCCATTCAAATATCTCTATGAAGACAAAATGAAAACTTAACATCACTGTATGATTCAGAATTCCCAATCTCTTGTCTGCCTAATAGTAAAAACCATGTGGCTTCAACTATTTTCTAGACTGAATAGTAGAGAAAACACTGACCGCTGGTTTTCAACTTTCGCCGACTTCCGCCCTCCTCCCCCTGGTTCACTGCAAATACTACTGACTGTCCTCCTACCAAGTGCTGATATATATAGGGAGTACTTCAAAATTCTGAAACACTTGTTTTGGCTGATGCTTTATCCCTGAGAAAATTGATCTCAAAGTTCAGTTTTTTGAAAAATCGGGCTTTCTAGAAATCCCTACCACTGTGATATTCATTCCGGAAGTTTTTCAAGTACTTCATTGAATAGCCACTACACAGGTAGCCCGTTCAATTCTCTACAGCGTTTAAGGCTTATATACTCTATAGGAAATCTACAAGACAGTAAACCTTTACCTTTCGGTGGGGGGTGAAGATGAAAACGTGCCGTTAACAAACAAAAAAGAAAAACAACACAAAGTTTTGGGTACATTCCGGCGAATGTGGAAATGTGCGTTCGGTTGATTTCCAGTTTGTTTTTTGTGATACACTAACCGATAAGACATAGCATCAAAATAACACCTTCAGGCCATGAGAACTTAATTTCGACGGTGCCCGTCATTTCGTTTACATCATTAATGCAGCACCTTTGACAGTCATTTACTCATTTATTGATATTCCACTATTTTTCTTACACCAGTTCTTTGCACAAACGTTTATATGTCTAGTTGTTCCTTGCTGTTTGACTGATTTTCCACATTTGTGGCAAATGTATTTGTTTTTCTGATTTCTAACAAGTATCTGCATTACTTCGAGCAAAGCTGTGGCACAGTGGGCATCTTGGCAGTTGTTTGGCGCAAAACCGTAAGTGTACTATTCTAAGATTTAAATACCGTCATATATATTTTGGTTAACGACCGATTTAATGATGAAAAAATTTTTCTAAGACTTTTCGTAGTTCAGAACATTGGTAAAAAAAGTTCACGTACTAATTAACGCGTTTTTGAAGATGTTGATCGCGTATTTCGAATAACACTTCTTTTTGATATTTTCTGGAGCAGAAAAATGTCAGCTATCTGATGCTGAAAAAAGTTTTGCGCCGTCTTAAAAAGTTTGGATAAAAAACCCGTAATTTTCCCGAGAAAAACCCTTTTCCTCGCTACGTTACCAGTGCAATCGACTTCCTAAATTTTCCTAAACTCTGATAACGTTCCAATTTACATCAAACGTTCATCTTGGTGCCTTGCATGTATAGCATATGCGGTTTTTTGACTAGACGGAGATAGAGATTTTTCAAAAAGCTCTGGTTTTTAAGGTAAAGTTGAGTTTTCTCGTATCAAAAACAATAAAAACAAATAAAAAATTGTTTGACAGAAATTCAGGGCAAATCATTTTTTAACTCATAGAACCAGATGTCCGCCAACTTAGAGGGAACACCTCTAAGTTGAGTGAAGGTGTTGATTACTTTCAGTGCTTCTGCTAGTGATTAATTTCCTCTTTCGGATATTTCATTCTTGTTTCCTATAACTGCATTATGTCCTAAGCGCCCCAACTCATGTTGAACAATTCAACCAACGCCAACCACAAACACACACAAGGAAAGAGAAAAACTTCAAACAAAAACAAAATTAATGTCACTTACGAATCATTCTACAGGCTACCCTATCTGCTTGCAAGACTACTCTCAGTTCTCCACTTCCTCTCTCGGATATTTGGTTGCCTTCAAGATTAAGTTTAGTGAGAGTGTTGTTTACTTCCAGTGCTCCTGCTAGTGCTTTACCTTCTCCATCGGATATTTGGTCCTCTACTATGCTTTCTTTCTAAGCGTCTCCGACTGCTTTCGGACGTACCATCGTATCACCGATTACTGACAAAAAACTGAATATGAAATGATAAGTCTTTTAAATTTGTTATTTGAAATCATCGAGATATCCTGTCTTCATAAATCCAGTTTCATAAATCACACATTTATGAAACTTTTTACAAGTTTCATAAAATTTATAATAAATAAAATTTACTACGTTAGGGAAGCGCATAAACCACGATAGAAGCATAGCGAACAAAGGCGACGACGAATTTAGTAACTGATAGAACTTCCAACAAACGTGGATCAGATGGTCCACGTAAAACAACCGGTGTTGTATCAGCTTCATCTCGATATGAGATACTACTACTATCAACAGGCAGCAAAAGATGAGTTAAATTTACGTCTTCGCCCATAATAATAGAGGCGCGAAGACGTGGCGGTACAAATTCAACGTCAGGGTCCATATCTAATGTTAAAGCTGAGATATCAGTTCCCAGTGCAGTGAATAAAGAATACATGCCTTTTGTATCAATATCTGCTATTGCCTTTGAAGTCGTTAACGCTATTGACGCTGCTGTTGTATAAATTGTTGATGATGTTGAGGCGATGTTCGATGAATTTGTTGAATTGGCCAATTCACGTGCTGCTAATCGTAACATGTAATCATTTGAACCATTTAGGATAGTAGAATTTGGTGTCGTTGTAGTTGTTCTTCCACTGGTAAGCCAGGAAGAATTTGAAGTATCAATGGGTAATGTTGTTAACAAACGGACATATGATGATTTGAGAAAACAAGCATTATTATAAATAAATATATATCATGAATTTTTTTTTCTTATTAACTTCCTTTTTGTTTGTATGTTGTAATAAAGTATGTTTCTTCTTATTGTAAATAACAGAGCATAAGTTCTAAAACTAGATGTCGTTGATAGAATAAGAGCATGACTTTAGTATTGAAAATAAGCAAATTTAAATCACTGAGTGATTTAAATCAATTGAACATATAAGTAATAATCGTAACTGAACATATTTAAAGTAATAATCGCTGACGGCAGAAAAAACTTATGCATAAGTCAGACTGGCGAAAATTATTGTGCATTTTGCTATCTATATATAAATGCCACATTTCTGTATCCACTCGAAATATTTTTATAGTAATCTTAAAATAACGGACTATAAAACTGTCGAAAACAAATTATATTCAAAGACTCATCTGCCTACAGATAGGAAATCGAAATAAAACTCCCACGAAAGAAACAACAATTTTGCGTTAGAATGCAAAAAACTCGGCTATAGCTAATACTTTGAATTCAAAACTAGACCAATTATTGACAGCTTAAAACAAACTATTTGTATAGGAAAGTATGAGACATTCAAGAAAAGACAAGACTTTCTTAATGCATTCGAGTGTATTAAATAATTTCACAAATTTGAATATATTAACTCTTACCGCGTGTGAACGCATCAAATTAATCGGAATACCTGTGACTCTATTAAACGAACGAGACATTTTTTTTTATGCACTCGAACGTGTGAACGTGTTGAATTCGTAAAAATGCGATAGAAAAGTTAAAAAATTTCCTGCTCCCAAACGCATTAACTTTTAAGGCATGCGAAGGCGTTAAAATTTTTTTCTATTCATCAAATGAAGATCCTAAATGTAAAGTTTTACGCATTCAAAAGAAATTTTTGGTATTAAAAAAATTCAATGGATAGCCAGATGATATTATTAAAATTATATTAATGATACTGGATACAATTTATATGGATCTGTTTCATAATTTCAACCGTGTATTTGAAAAATACCTCTTAGTACACTTATTATGATACTAATTCTATACCATTAATATATGTGTTGTTGACTGTTGAATCTACTATCTAACAAATAATATGACACTAAAAATCGGATTAATTCATTTCGGACGAATTCATATTAGAAGACTACATTACTAAAACTCACTACTGAAATATCATCAGAATCTGGAAAACAAAGAAAGAGCATTAAAAATTTCTAACTGAAAGCATGACGTAGTATATTATTTGGTGCTCTATATTGGCAACAAAGCAACGAAGGTCACCAGTCATACTTTATGGTTTGCTTTTCTAATCCAGTATGGACGTTAGATGGATCAGAAATAGTCCCTTTCAATAACAAGACTGAAGAAAGAACGTCTTTTATTTGATTAGAGTAAACTTTCGCTTAACTTACACGTAGTTGAAGTTTTGGGGTCCCCTGTTCGCGTACAAGTCCTATAAAAGGTTTGTCGCGCCAATTTGTCATCACTCACTGAAAATCCGATAAAAATGTCTTTTTTTTTCCGGTGCAAATTATATTTTAAATTTAAAATTACTATCATTGTTTATTCATTGTTTACGTCTTTTTCTTTTAAATTAGAAAGAAAAAGAATATGGTCATCATCAACAACAAACTCAAAGTTCTCAATTGAGTGAGATAGAAAATTTTTTTTAGCAAAACACGTCACAATCTGCAACAACTAAACGAAATGTATAATAATAAGAAGAAGACGAATAGAAATTCCAGACACACGCATCTTACTATATTTCCAACAAAGGAAAATTATTCTCTAAATAATATTTTATCAATAATTCAAAATCCTGGTGATCGTTTAACGCAACAAATGAATAAATTATTGAAAAAAAATGAAGAAAATAAACAACAAACTCAATCTGTTATGTCGATTATGACGTTATTGCGAAAGGTATCACATTAAAGTGACTCGAGATGACATCAGAATTTAATAAGGACGACAATAGTACGGACCACGTAACTATGCATTTTAAACTTCAGAAAACTGAAGTTATTTTTCGTATTTTACTAACTCCGTGTTCAAATTTTCAACTTTATGGTACTTGTTCTTCAAGTCAACCACAATTTTCTTTTATAGTGAGTGCAATATTCTTATTGTTTTTGCAGTATAACAGTGAACAAGAGGATTCTCGCATAACAAATAACTCATTTTTACATCAACGAGAAACATTGACAAATCAAATAGGAACTATTGGAATTGACAATAATGCAAGCTATGACGATGATAATTCTTATCAATCGACTAAGAAAAAGAAGAATGACAAGAGTTTAACGATTGATTTTTGTGAAAAATTTCTTTACTGTAATGACCTGTTACAAGCAGCAAGGATAAATTCAACACAAAAACAGCAACGTTCTGTAAAACAACCACAATCATCTAATCTAGAGTCTAAGGTTAATAGACCGAGACGACAATCTAAATCGAAAATGACACGATTAACACTAGAAGAAAAACAATTATTTGATGAAGAACAAATATTATCATCAAGACAAGAGATAATTGCACATGCTTGTAGTAGACGAAAAGCAAGTGGACATCGCAAAGTATGATGTACAGTGAGAGATAAGAGAAAGAAAGAGAGTGAGAATTGAGAGCAAGAGAGAGAATAACAATTCTTTCTTCCTATAATCATTCAAATCTTAATATGAACAATAAAAATAAGCATTAATATATTTTATTATTTGTACCTATATTTTTCCAATATTTTTCGCACTGTTAATGGTTTATTACTATGAATAAACAAAAACCTATGAATTCAATGGACAAGCAGTTGTGTAGAAAAGCATTTTCCCGATGTTTCTTTACGTCTTTCTCTATCAATCCAAATGGTTCTCTCTTGCTCTCAGTTTCACAGTTTGAATATACTTTTTTAACATCGACTGTTTTTATATTTAATAACAAACTATAGAAATTTTTTATTATTTAATATTTCATCCAAAAGTCCTTGAGTGAGAACATTGAGAACAGATTTCCATACAATACTGTTGCATCTTTCGAAACGACTGTACCAAGTTCGTGTTTCAAAATATCTCGCTTACTCTTTCCACTGAGTGTGCTAGTAAAGCCCTGACTTCCATAATTATTTTCAAAAAATTGTTTACCCCTAGATACCACGTCAAAATTCATTATCTTATCCTTCAGAGAAAAAACCAACGACACTAGAGCAAATATCTACGGACTCAATGGACAGTATTTCACGGTTACCAATTCATCGACTTTGTCGAAAAGGAGCGTATCCCAATACAGAAATTCAACGATTTTGTATTGAAGATGAAAATGTACCATGGAGTATTGAAATACCAGAATACAATGCTCCATATTACACTGATCCAAGTATTCTATTACAATTACCGAAATCAGAAGAAAAAGCTCTCACAACGTTGATAAATGGAGTGGATCCAGAATATGTTCTACATGATATTATGTGGAATGTGTTTGATACAAATTACAATGTTGATCGTCGAACAAAAAATCCATTTGGAGAATATAAAATTGATGATCTAGGTTATCCCTTAAATCCATTAGGTCGAACAGGTATGCGTGGTCGTGGCCAGTTGCCACGTTGGGCTGTCAATTATAAAACACATCTTATCCTGTTACGTTTCACCAATGAAATGGATAAAAAAACTCAAAAACAAAAATATAAATATATCGTGGAAAAACGAGATCATTATTGGCGGTTGCCTTCCACACGGGCCACGAGCTGTGATAGAAATGCTGTTTTATATACATTACGAGAATTTCTCAATAGTATGTATAAATTATGGTATGATGTTGATATTATACCATCTCATATACAAAATAAATTATCTAGTTTAACAGACAATCTAATATATGTTAGTTCAGCTTATATTGATGATATAGTAAATACAGATAATGCATGGTTAGGTAAGAAAATGTCTACTATTTATATGTTATTAAGTGCAAAAAAACATTCTTCTATTATAGAAACGGTGGTATATTGTTATGTGCAAAATAGAAGTATGGAAAATATAATTGATTTAGATGATTTATTTCCACCCGATTTGGATAAAAAAGAATATTTTACATGGAATAGTTTATCGCGAACAAGTGAATTATTAGAAAGTGAAAGAGATTTATTAAAATTAATTGCCAAAACACAAAATGCGTATTGGTAATTTAAAAAACTATTTATTAATAATATTATTTTAGTACAATTAGTCGTTTTTGATAATAGTATCCAAATAGTAGTAGTAGCCAAAGCGTGAAGAAAAAATATGTTATAAATAAAAAATGTATGGCGTTACAGACGACTTTTGACACATTTCGAAATGCCACATTACAACTCAACACCGATATCTCTGATTAATTTTCGTAATCACACACCATATACATAATTGTTAGTGTGATAAATTGAGCAATTGTCTTTATCTTAAATATAAATAATAATTGATATTAAAATATCATGTAAAAATAAACAGAATCAGTATCATGCATCAAACCGACACGTACTTTTTCAGCATTTCTGAGAAAATCTGTCGAGCTTCAGTCACTCCAGTCTAGTCGAAAAAAACAGTGTAGCTGTTCAGTAGTTCCGTGTGGCACTATTCAGTTCTATATGAGTGAATTAACAGTATATTAAGTACGGTCAAAAAGAAAACGCTGAATAGTCGATTATTTTTTTGGAACACTAGTTCATTAATTACCTTGAATTATTTACGAAATGCAATTACAACTAAAACGCGGTAATTTTTCTCATCAAATATGAAAAATCTAGTTTATAAGTTTTTATATACTTACCAATTTCAATATTTTGGGTTTGATCTCATTCGATCAGTACTCGTACCTAGAAGAATAGTATTTTCTCGACTTTTAACCATTTATCTCCTACGGCTGATTATTCAGAATAACTTAAAATTCGTATACCTTTGTTTTAGCTTAGTGAAAATATTTTTTTATTAACCGTCTCTAATTCATAATGTTAGCTCTTTAGTTCTTTTTGTTAGTTCTTTTACCCAAAGTATCACCGTGCTACTTTAAATAAATAAATATGCTGGTTGTTAGATTGACACCAATACAATATTGTCATTCTATTGTTCCCATGTTGACTTAATAGCTGTTAAAGATTATAAATGAACAAATTGTTCAAGTTTGAAGGATAGCAGAAAATCCTTTTTTAGCAGTATGTCATCATTAATAGACAATTTAAATGTATAAATTTGATTGACAAGATCTGATAGTATATTTTTATGATAGAACCTTCGTTAAACATCGGAATGTTGATGAATGAATTTCTTATTTTCTTTTTTTAGACTGGTTGATTTAAATCTTAGTTATTTAACGAAAATGAAATATCAATACCAACGGGTGTCTAAGCACATACTAGTAGAATTTTGACATTCATAGCAATCATAAATAAATAAATATGCAAATAAGTAAATGTATGCTCAATCAATGTGCACATCCAATGATATATTACTATTTTATTAAGTTTATTGAACGGTTGAAGTCCTTGTCTCCGTATAATTGAAGATGATCACTAAGGTTTCATCTGGATAGTTTTCGTGTTGAGACATTACTGAATTGAATTTGTTCGTCAAGAATAGGTGCCATTGTCTAATTTCTTTTTTTTTCGAATGTTAACTCAAGATGATTGTGTAGACTGTTCGAAAAAATACTTCATCCTGCTAGGAAAAACATTGTTAGTTTGATATTACCCTTTTCCGCCATTCCATAGATTCAGATTCCATAAATAGCAGAATTTGCTTGTATTCGAGATCGTAGGCATTATTCAGACGGTTAAGATAAGCCTCAATGAAAATGTAGCTTGAAAAAGTACGAAAAGAGAACTGAGTATGAATTATCTAGGTTTTCTAATTTATTTTTTTTACGCTGTTTAGAAAACAGGGCTGGAAAAGAGAACAAATTTTAAAAAAAGATAATGTTTCACATCAATGTGCACAGTTCTAAGGCACAATTTTTCATATGCTCGTCTCTTCATGTTTAAACATTAATGCATACATATCAATAGTAAAACAACTATATTCTCAACAAAATGATATACAGTCAATGGCTTACAGTACGAAAGCGGAGCTTAATGCCCTTATATCAGAAACTTTTGTTCGTGTAAACTTTTTTTTGTAAAGAATACGTTTTTGGAGATATAGTTATATTTACAATTGCTTTGTAACTCGTTTTGTTCTCTGTTCACTTCAAATTTAACATAAATACACAACCGTTCTCTTTTTAGCCCTGGTTTTGTTCTCAAAAACTCCTGGTCCAAAAAAATTTGTTAGAAAATACACTCTTTTTAATTGTCTCAACAAGTGTCTAGCCTTGTCTATCAAATAAAAGTGTGAAAAAACTTTCAAGTCCATTGTCTGTATAAGCCTTCCTAGGGTATCCAAGACTATGCGTTTCTTTTGATTCATATCCACACCTTTGTATTCATACGGCAAACAAGTTGCATGTCTGAAAATGTATGAAAAATGTCTCCTCTATTTGTGCATGTCCAGGCGTCTATACCAAGCATTACGCGTCAAGTAATTGTTCTTGGATATAAATGAAAGCTGCTAAAACTAAACTGTTCATATATTCTGATCTCATTGGAGCATTACTTCCAATCCCGATTAACGAAGCCATTAAGAATAGCAATTTACCTTCATTAAAACACTTTCATCAGAAGGGATCTAATTTGAAACAAAACCTTCATAAAATCGTTTTCAGATAACAAAAGGTCATATCGATTATCTTAGTTAAAACTTACGACAAAGACAAACTCAATCAATAGCAAATTCCTCGATCCAATCGTGTGTTCAAGAACGAGAAGAAAAAAAAGAAAGATAGAAAGAAAGTAGGAAATTCATTCATCAACATTCCGATGTTTAACGAAGGTTGTATCGGATAACTTTCTTTGAGATCTAATTGTAATGTCAGCAGTTATAGTTGATGAAAAATTGATAGCATACGATAATCCTTGTGCACCACTTGTAAAGTTTTCAACTGATGAATGGAACGATTTTATTGAAATGACTGATGATCATCAACTCAAACATGGTGAAACACAACAGCCTCTTGGTAAGTCACTTTATAGCCATCTGACTGCTCTAGCAGTTTATTTTCTTTTAGGAGAAAATTTATTCAGATCATTGTCATTAGAAGATCTCGTAAAATCGTTCGATAATACAATTAATTGTTGTTTTCCAAATGAATTGTACGAAAACAAAAATTCTAATCTTAATATAAAAGACGATGTCCATCTCAAATCACTCAAACAAGATCTCGTGGCAACATCAAGGTGAGTGTTAATGTTAAGAGAATGCGACGCTTTATGAAAAAATTTGTTCATTTGTTTATCTTAGAACCTGGTCAGAATTAATTGAAAATTTACGCCATTCTTTACTAAACGAATTAAAACTACCCCATATAGAGAAAAGTTGTCAATTAGCAATGAGTACAATTAATCAGTTTGTAAGAAAAATTCTTTAAATAAAATGATGATGTTTAAATATTTTTACTTTCTTAGTCAATTGACAAAGAAATTAGTAGTATCGATGATGTTGAAGAAGATGAATTACGAGAACAACTTGATATGCACTCAGTTATTGTTCCAAATATCAGCAATCTTGAACCATTTTTAACTGCTGAACAAGTTATTAGTGAAATTGATTTTATTCTACAGGTAAATTAAACAGAAAAAAGAAGATATTTACATATAGAAAGAATGTTTTTTTTAACTTTCTATAGGAAAGTTGTATAGATATGACACCTGATTCTGGTTTTTCTGACGACAATAGTGACATGCTCGATTTACGTACACGTATTCATTATTTATCAAATGGTGAAAATCTTGATTTTGGTAAACGGACTTGTATGTTTCTGTTGTTTGAATTTATTATGATAGTTGAAAACACTTTTGTTATTGTTCTATTTCTTTCATCTTAGACTTGAAAACACAATCTGTATTTTCACTCAATGAAATATATGAAGAACTTGAATCATCTGTTAAAGAATTATCGGACACACTTGTTCAAGTAAGTTCTTATTTGTAACGATTTTTTTGTTTTTGTTTTTCTTATTTTAATTATTTTATTCTTTCTATTAATAGGAATTAGCTTTTCGCGATGAATTAGAATTTGAAAAAGAGACAAAAAATACATTTATTTCACTTGTACTCAGTATTCAAGTATGTATAAATATACACATAATTCAAGTTAAAATATTTTTATGAACATATCTCAATTTCTAGAATAAACGACGACAACATCAACTAGATAAACGACATAAACGACGTTCTGTAGTAGAAAAAGGTGAACCTGGAATGGTACGTAAAGAATATTTCTTCTTCTTATTGCATGCGTTATGAATTTCTCTTATGCATGAATGTTTATACCCGTTATAAAAACGATTTATCAGGTATTGCCCACGCATGATTTCTCTCCCTTCTGTCATTTCTTTATACTGTAATTTATCTAAAATATTCTTCTATAATTGTAACAATAGTAAGAATTTTTGCTTTTGCTCTAAACTTTGTTTTATTTTTAACAAGAACATATTTTATTAGACACTGTTTCCTGAATTGATATCTTAAAGGTTATTCATTTTGTCAAGTCTAATTTATTTTATAGAAATAAAACAACAACAACTAGTCGTGTATTGTGCTTGTATATACATATATATGTTCACAATAAAGGTTCTATCGAATTTATAAATTAACTCTTTCTTTTTTTCTCATTCTCTGGCGAAAAAATGGCATGCAACAACAGGAAATTTTTTTTGTTTTTTAGTATATTGATGCTCATATAATATAATAAACGATAAAGAAATAGAAGAATTTTCTTTTTGTAACACAGAACAGATAATGATATACACTCTCTCTCTCTCTCTCTCTCATACATATATATATATATAAGGAAAATATATCATTAGTATTCACCATCTTCTCTTTCTGTAAAGGGAATTGGAAAATTGGAATAAGATGAATTTATCAGCATGAACTGCGTTTAAACTAGAATTTTGTTCCATAGGATAACGTTCAGCTAGCTGTCTGTCTGTCTATCTTCTGGTTTAAATTAAATTATTAATGCCTGACATTGAATAAAAAAGAAGATAAAATAAATAAATACAATTACATTTTGGCTTGAGTGATAATGATTAGAGAAAAAAAAAATAAATTAAAAGAAAGAGAAAAAGAGAAAAAAAAGAAAATACCAGAAATAGAAGAAAAATTGACTATGGACTGATGTTCAAACTCTACAAATCGTGAAGACTATGAATAGATTATAATTGACCGAATATATAAGAGGAAATAAACAGAAAATTAGATACCTCAGAAGGATACCATTAGTAAGATGAAAGAGAGCGGCAATCTGTTCTGAAAAGTGTTTCTTTTTACTCTTAAAATATACAGTTAGTGTGCTTCTTACTACTTTAGCAGATGGGACGGAAACTTTTCATACAATAAAAAGAAAGCAGAAAGAATATGATTTTTTTCAGAAACACTGAGCACATTTAGTAAGACATGGTACAATTCGTCTACTAATTGATTATTAATAAGTCGACAATTATGATTAAGATGTACAGAAGTGTACAAAAATAATCAATTTTGAAAATCAGATGAGAAACACTTTATATTCGTTTTACATACTCATTTTATCTAATTTTTGTACAAAAAATTGAAAATAATTTATGTAGTTTTAAAGCAGAAGAGGTTCTGTGTAAAAAAGAAATGATATATTTAATTTGTGTGAATATCAATCTCAGACGGTGAAATAACAAGATTCTATTTGTTTTTTTATTTCTGTCATATGTCTTTTTTTGACATTTAAACTCTAGTAACAAAATATAATACGTCTTTCATTCGAGAGCAGTGACTTTCTTGTCGATATATGTCCCACAATACTTTTACTCAATATCACTTCATCAACAAAATCTTTTTAAAAAAGTTTGTTTTTATATCTATAATCTGTACACTATCAACTCTAGTTTGCGCTAATATATACCAGCCATATGTGTGTGTGTTCGTTTAGATTTTGCGACGATCTCGTTCTGTTTTTGATGCTCTATCTACTAGTTGGAGTGATTATTTTCATAAACCACAGGTAGCACTTTTTTTATCCTATTTAATGTCGCTTTTAATTTTTTTCAACACGTTACTTAATGTTCTTTTGTTTGTCGGCACAAATTATGCAATTCAATTACTTAAATAATCACTTATACACTCTCTGACAATAATATATATTTGTTCGATTACTTTTATTTTTTATACGTATCGTGTTTGATCATGCTTTTAGTTATATTCCCCTATGTCGTTATTCTATTTGTTCTGTTGTATATGTGTGTGTGACTAACTAGATTATGCTTGTATTTATGTAACTTCTTTAGAATTAATTAGTTGCAAAAAAATATAAATCGCCCATGGTATACTGAGTTACTTAGAAAATATGGTGTATCATATTGAGAAAAGAGTGCAATGTGTTGATGTTTATTATGTAGTTGCATGCGACAAAGAATTCCGTACTGAAAAAGTTTTAAAATTTTTCAACATTATTTTTTCTCCATTATCTATGATTGTTTTTCTCTCTTTTATAGTATCTGACAACTGTAATCCCGTTTGATCGTGATCAAACATCACTTTCTGCCGAACATTTACAAAGTCTAAATAAAAGTACGATATATTATATCAAAGAATAATATTTTCATTCGTAGTAATAACATTTTTTTCTTTTTTATCTTTAGTTTTATATGCAATTAATGATGATAGTCCACAAGTTCCCGAATTGCTAACAAATTACATTTTAAAAGGTTTGTATAATATTTTTTTCTTTTTTTTTATCTTTGGTATGAACGATTTGTTTTTGGGTAGGAAGGAAGAGACCGTTCGAAAAAAAAAAAACTTGTTTACAAGAAATTTGTGATAGCGAAAATCTTTCAGTAGTCAGAAAAAAATTGTGGAGTAACTCTTAAAGATATTCTCTTCCTCCTCAACGAAATCAAATAAAAAATGTCGCTTTATTTTCAACATCTGATATTCTTTTCTATTATTTTAGTGTTTTGTCCCTATTAAAATACGTTCTCATATCTAAATACAATGACAATATTATACAATTTTGTTTTTCTTGCTTTTGTATTTGTGTGGTAATGGCTTTACTAAAAAATATTACTCTCTTTCGTGCAAAATAATAAATTTCGCTTTAATAATAGAAATTGTCATTTTTTTTTTTTTGTTTGTATATCACTACATTTCTGTATTTTTAGTTATTTTATTGAAAGTTTTTTTGTATGTGTTTTTTTTTTCTGATATTTATTGTATTTATATTCAACGTCAGTTAGATAATTCTAATTCAGGTCTTTGCTTTTAAGGTGTTGTTTCTTTTGTCGTCAAGAATTACTCATTTTTTTTGTGTAATTGTCGCAGCCAAGCACTGTTCAGATAAAAAAAGAAAAAAAAAAGAAGAGGACGTTTATAATAAGTGAGATTTACTTTATAGTCTATAATTAGTTGGTTATATTTAAATCAGAAATGAGGAAAACTCGAGTTTACGTTCACGATATATAGCATATCTATGTATTAACGACGGAACACTTTTCTTTTTTTACCTTCTTGCAATTTAGCAACATAGGATAAGAATTGTACTGATAAAAAATTTCTCTTCTATTGTTTAATCGTGCAAATTAAAGATATGTCGATTTAGTCATTTCGTGCTGATAAATATTCATTTTTTATATGTACTAAATCGATTGCTAATCTGTAATCATTTCTCGCAAAAAACAAACATCTAGTCGTACACCAATCAGTTTTTTTTTATGCTTATTTTGATACATACTTTATATTTCTAATGTATGGCTTTAACATATTTATTCGATATTATAATCTTTATAATTTAAAGAAAAAAACGTTTTTTGTTGTACTCTAATATCGGTTAGTTGTATCATTTTAATATAATTAATTGGTTTTCTTAAATCCTAATTTTGTCAAAGTGATTAAATAATAGTCATTCTATCAAATGAGTTTAATTCTCGTACCCGTATCATTACAGAAAATTGAATTACTTTTAAAAGAGAAATAACATGCACTGTTGACATTCTTCTGCAAATTAGTCTCGTGTAAAAAAAGTGAAGAGAAAACATTTTTGTTATCAACACAATTTTTTTCTAATATCTTACTTAGCTAAATTGAAGAATTCATACGAAATAGCGTAACACTTCACATACCAGACATTCAGTTTTAAATAAAAATTTATGTAAAACAGATAATTAACAGGATTAGTTGCACTTGTAGCATATTCACATTTCATTGAAATGAGTAATCTTGTTTTTTTAGCTGTATGCTCTTTTTATATGTAGATTTTTTTTTTCTGTAATATGTTTGAAAAGAAACATTAAATCTTGCCTTGTATGTAAACAGAGATAATAAATAGCGATAAATTTATTAAAATCAGCGAATTGAACAAGAGAAGATCATCGGTATACACTATTTGTTCATATTAAATTTTCTTGATGACATAAACAAAACAGTTAATTATCTTGAAATATAAAAAGTACTAAATCTTTTCAATTATTCATCTTTAAAATGTTTAGCTTCTTGTATAAAGACATACTATCTATTCGATTTTGCTTGTATCAATTTAAAACAAAATAACTGCTAGTATCATATATTGTTGTTCGTTCGTTTATTTTTCGTTTTTTTAGATATATGTTGTTAATGAATGTTTAATATGTTTTTACTTAATTTTTTGCAACGGTCTTCCTCTGTTTGTCTATCGTGTCAAATTCGCTATTTTTGTTTTGTACCTTTGACACAACGAATAAAATTTCGTTCCTATTCTACTTTAAATACTCCATCATCACCATCCCCATCACGATCACCATCATCATCATCAATACCAGAATCATCGTCAGCATTTATAAATGCTGAGCAACAACGTTTACAAAATGTTCTTGTTTATAAGTCAAACGAGCGATATGTTGGTATTTTAGCCGCAGTTGGTGTAGTTCAATTTTTTTTCATGCAATGTGCATCGTATTACAGTTATCAATTATTTGGTACGGTAACAGCAAAAAAAGAAAATTTAACACCAGAATCAACAATGATTGACAGATTTGCCACAATTATTTCTACAAATCGTTTTCGTATATCAGCTGCGTTAACAACATCATTTTTAAGTAAGTTACAGATAGTATAAGTAAGATAGTTATAATTTTTATTTTGTTTTAGGTTTAGCCATAATGACTGCTTGTCTTGTATATCCTGCTCGTTATGTTCGAAAATTATATTTATTAAAAGATGGGAAAAGTGCTGGTATTATCACATTTGCCACATGGAAAAGTGGAAGAAAATTTACTGTACCACTCGTCGATTTATCCATACGTACATCTCGTCATACAAATACTCAATTAAACCAAATGAAAATTCGTGGACATAGATTTAGTTATTTAATTAATAAACGTGATGGAAAATTTACATCTGAAGGTCTAGAGATCTTTGATAATATTATCGCGTTAAAACGATTTTAGATAACGTTTTTTCTGTTTTGTTTTGCTTTGTTTTGTTATGGAATTGTTTTTCACTATCATTATCTTTTGATAAACATAAGAGTGAACCATAGATTACTGATTAAAACAAAATTGGTAAGTAGTAATTACAATTGTACGAGACTAATGTGAGAGAATACATGAATAATATTTGAAAGTAAATGTCTCGATGTGCAAAATACACTGTCGATTTTTTACCCATATGCTTCAGTTAATTTTCTCAATAAATAACAGAAAAGGGAACAGTTATTTACAGACTTTTTATTCCAGAGATTATGACATTGATTAAATTAAATAAAATAATCAAATCAATGTGAGAATAATGAAAATAAAATAATTCAAAAATATACAAATAGAATTAACTATGAGACGTTTCAGTAGAAAATCAACATTCTAATCGATTGCTATTAATTCAAGTTAAAAATATAAATAATTTAAAGAACTAAAGCGATTGATTAATATTCTGTACATTTTGTAGAATAGATATGAGTAATAAGTCAATTCTACGGTGGACTAGAATGGTACTTTTTTTCTTATCATCCTGTTCGTTTCACAGTCGACTTTTCGTAAGTTTGTTATGTTTTATCAATACTATAGCCCTACGAAGCTCGTACAGGGTTAGAAAACGTCTTATTTTAAAGAATAAACATTTTTGTTTGAATTGATAATTAAAGTAATGCTGATAGTTTATTCCGTGTTTGTATATAGACTTCAAATTGAACGTTCCAATCACATCATCCGGCATCTATTTCAACGATTTTAAACCTATAAATGTATCAACTATCGATGTTTCCTTAATTATCAATTTAAAGAAAATGTTTGCTCTTTGTTGCTTATTTTCATTCATAGAATCATTAACATAGTGAAAAAACAACTAAATTAAAACCCATTTTTTGACATGAGGATAAAAGTAAAACGAAATAGACATTAGTGGATTAGAATTAACTTTTCTAACCCTATCGAATAGTAAATTTTTTAGTGGAAAATACGAGTGAGTGAAGGCTTTTTCATGAAGTGTATCCGAGGCTCATATGCCTGCCATAAGCTTAAAGCAAGTAGCCCCTTGACATTTTTGTATACTCAGAAAATATTCGAATTTTCGCAACTGATGCTGTATGGTTTGATTTTCTAGGATTGGACTAGAAGCCTGTTGGGTAAGCATCAATTCGGGCTATGAAGATCTTGCCCTTCTTAAAGATACATTTCTATTATGCTGCGTAAAAACCGTTTAATTTCAATGTCATTCATCGTATAAAAACAAAGAAAAAACCTATTCAAAAGGGTATCAATATTTTTTATCACAAAATTTATTAGTAGACAGACAACAACAAAAATACGAAAAAAATATATACAACAAGAAATATGAACAGCGCAGAAAAATAGCTAACTTTATACTAATAAGGGTGTAAAAACTTTTATCGGATGACTTTTACTTTTTTTTCTTACACAATGGTTCACAAGAAGTTTTGTCCGTAACCTAATACATGTTGAATAAGATGGCTAATCCAACAGAGTGTTTACACGTATATTACTTGAGGCCAATTGGACACGCACACGATGTAAGCGGTGACACGAACCATGCCACAAAATCGTCAAATTTTGTCTATTGATTATATTGATAGAAATCTAACCAAATTGGTATTGTTATTGTCGCCGTGGATGATAAAGCAGCATAAAATGTATTAAACTAATGTAAAATATCAGATCGATTTATACTTGCTGATTATTTATAAGCACGCAGTTTCGTATTAAGAGATATACTTGTAGCAGCAGCAAATGGTGATGAAATACTTGCCTCTGACAAATCTTTTAACAATTGCTCCGCTTTTGGTAGAAACGCTGATAAATGTCGTTTATTAAGAAGGAAGGATATTTTTGTTTTGTGATGGCATTCATCGATTCACAACCATTATTCTTCGGTGGTTTACCAAGGTAGTACCTTCGCATCTGGATAACATAAAATGGGTTAATGCTAAGGATAAACTCTAATTCCGTTTTCTTACCACTAGGGTTATCCATTGATGAACAAAGTAATCCGAAAATTTCTTCATAGATATATTTTCATTCCATTTTTGTACTGGTAAATTAATACCATGATTGAATACATCGTCTGAAAAAGGAAGTTGAACAGTAGGTATATCCGCCTCAGCGATGTGTTGTTACTAGATTTAGATGGGCATTCTCATCATGAGGAATTAATGTAATACCAAACGTACATTTCAAGTGGAGTGTAGCTGTTTAACCGTCATTATGTTGAATACACCAGTTTAGGGATGTTACAAGCTTCGGGACCTTGCATCAAAGATCGCATGTTTTTGTTATTCCAGATCTCCAGGCTCTACCGAAGTTTTGGACCAGACTTACACAGTTTTCTGCGCTCTATCCAAAACTAATATCAGGACTGGTCAAGATCAATAAAAAAGTGCCGGACTTGATAAAGCTAGGTGAAAGTTGACCATTGTCTGTATTTTTTAACAAGTTTTACCAAGCTCTACACTTTTTATTGATCTTGACCAGTCCTAGCATTAGTTTTGGAAAACTGGCTAAGCCTGGTTCAAAAGCTTGATAGAGCTTGGGGGGTTTGGAATAATAAAAACATGCGATCTTTGATGCAAGATTTCAAAGCCTGTAACATTCCTATACCGGTTTCGTAAAGCGAAAACTGAAAAAATCTTTGCCTGTCCTTTCGGAGCTCATAAGTTACTAAATTAATTAACTTCGTTTTGGTTACTGGAGCATTTGAATGATTTTGAACTAATGACGATTTAATTTGTGATTGTCATAATCTACAATTAACATATTTCGACACAGATTCCGAATAGATGATGGTAAACCAGTTGCTGGATTGCGTTCTTCGTGTTCGTGTCCATGTACATTTTCTGGGCATGACCATCGCTGGTTGTGGATTACTACCTGGTACGATTATCTGAATTTCAAAATAACAAAAAGAGTACTTCCTATACTTATTACATTTGAACAAATATTTTGCATGCTTTTTTAAATCTGATCGACGACATTGACAAACATTAAACTGTGATTTTGCGCAGTAGCGAATTTAGACTGCTGGCAGTCGTCAGCACCGGAATTTTTGATTTCATATTATTATACTCTCATTCTTGTGCAACGTGTCGAACGGGAAAGAAGTAGAAATCGTATCATCTAGAAACTCCTAAGTAAAGTTGCCAAACTTGCTCTTTTGTACAAATCCGCCAGCACGGAAATTTTTTTCTAGATCTGCCACTGACTTTGCGCGTTCTTTCGCTTTATCGTACGATCTAGCTGAGTGTAATAGTTTCCATTCTTGCTTCGACATTTTTGGGGATGTCGTGTGCAGTGTTAGGGACGTTATTTATAATTGTTCTGAGTTGACAAAACCATTCTGATCAAAGGCAATTAAAAGAAATTAAATTAAATTTCTGTTCTATTCATATTTCTTGTTGTTGTCTGTCTACTAACAAATTTGATGCTCAAAACACATTTTCCTTTAATTGAACGTTCACCTAATCGATAAACAAAAACGAAGAGTAACTAATTATTTTCCAAAAAACCTAGAACCAATTCGTATTACAGATTTGAGAATCAGACCATTATTTTTCTATTCTGTACGAGCTTCTTGCCATGCGTGTATTCTTCGTTTGATTTTTTAAACATTAATTTGTAGTTTTATTTCTAGGTTGTCAAAAAAACGTGAATATCATTCAAAGTTACTGGACGAACTTATTAATATTGAATAAATTCCACTCTCTGGAAGCTCAAACCACGCTTCTTCCGAAGTGTATAGAAAAAGTGAGGAAGAACATTTTGTTCTCTTGTGTGCCTTCCTCCCTGATTCTTTCATATCTTTGGTGGATGCTTCAGTTTTCGTTCTCAAGTTCATTCTTTCAAAGTCAAAATTTCTCGAATTTAAAGATGTACTCCGACATTTTTCTGTTTGGAACAATTTGCCTCCAGTATAGTATAAAAGCCTGTGAAGAGGGTAGAATTGTCTGCTTTGGACAGAGATTGTAAAACCATTTTTGTTTACATTGTTCGATGTAACTTGATAGGCTTCTTCTTAACATTACATTTATTTTGATTAAAAATCTGAAAATATCTATACTTTGATTCAGAGAAACTCATTCTGTTGAACCTTTGGTTTAGTTTTTTGATTTTGCTTATATGTTCCTCTAGAAATCTACAAACTTTTCTTGCCAGTATATTCTGAACGTATTTTTAGATAATAACTGCATCTTATAATGACATACTAATCTCAATAATGAACTTTGGCATTCCCGGCTTACGCACAGAAAAACCTCGTTTTTCGTTTTTTTGATAAATATCTGCTTTTTCTTTATGTCTCTTCCTATCCTGTAAATACGTATAATAATGGGAAAGAAAGTTATGATGTACACTCTTCTAATCTTTCCAAAAAGATTCTCGGAGCAATGGTCTTCGATAGTGATAAGTGCTCCCGTATTTTTTCACCCATCAACAGGAAAAACACTACTAGAACTTAGTTTATTTATTGCCCATTGAGATAAATCTCGAAGTCTACAAAAAAAAGTCGTGTATAATTACTTTTTGATTATTTACCCTTGGGAAAAAGAATTCGACTATATTAGAAATAACAGAAATTGTCCATCATATTTCTAGTCAAGAATCAAAATAAAATTTGAGCTATGCCTTTAGATATGTCTGAAGCATTTGATAAAATGTAGATCAAAGTGATTATACAAATTACAATCTAAGGAATTTTCTAGCAGTTTATATAAATTGTTTTGAAGATTATCTAACTGACACCAGTATATGCACTTTGTTTGACGGTATATTTTCTCTAACACACTTAAAAATTGATTTTAATCTATCACAAGGTGAAGTTCTTACATATCATTTATTTTTGATCTAAATTGATGATCTAGGTCATCTTGATGATGAAACATAGAGTTAACCTGAAAATCAATTATCTGGTGATAACACATTATCTATTGTATATTGATAGTGAT